CACTATTTGAATGAATTTATCAATTTTTGTAATCAATCCACATGGATTCTTACTATCCATGTAGAAGTAGTCACTAAAAGCTGTATTAGCATTTTATTAGTCTGATTTCAACTGAAGAGGTAAATACTGACATCAGTGGTCAGCTGTCCTCAAAGCACAAGCAACTAATATATACCGCCTAATTTACACCTAATTGGAGTTATGCTAAAGTCTATACTTGTTCTAGGACTGTGATTCTAGATTGCAAACAAAGTACGTGGTGACTTCAAATAAACCTGCACATGAGACAACAGATTTTCTCCTCCTGGTTTTAGGCTGCCCACTGGCAATTTATCATATTGCAGGTACTCAGCTCTAACACTGTTTTTTGCACTTACCAGGACAGTAGCTATGTTAGTGGGAAACGCCTTTGCAAGGATTGAAAACGATGCTGTCATTGCTGCTGCAAAACCTATTGCATCAATTGCTCTTACTAAAAAGCAAAAACTAATGAACATTGGTCCACTTGGCACCTTGTCCAGCATTCTGAAAAAAAAAAAAAAAATTCCCAACAGTAAATGGAGCTCTCTCAGGATGCAAGGAGTCATCTACTAAGGGCCCTGGAGCATCATTTCTTACTCATTAAAGGACACAGCTACAAGACAGTTAATGCTTTCTATTGTGACATATTTTTGAATCGCATCGCTGAAGTCATTGAAACTCTACCAACTTCTTTCTGGCCGCTTTCTCCTTTTCCCCTTGGTCTGGCAGTGGAAAAAACATGGAAAACCTAACTTCTGAAAAACTCCAATGCCATCTTCTGTTGTATTTTACAGCTTTTCCAATCACCTGTGCAAGCAGTCTGATGCAATGTGTTACAGCTACCTAAGAAAAGATTCTTACCTTGCTAATAAAACATTTATTTTGCTAAAATGAGTGACAGCCTCTTCACCTGCCAGGTAAAGCTTCCCATTTGCACTCAATATTTTCAGGAAAAAAAAATTAAAACGTTATGTAGAAATAGTTCCCTTTTTGCTGCATTTTGACAGGCTTCTCACTATTCATGAACTACAGTAGTTATTTAAATATATGAACCTTCCTCCTCTGTTTTCAAAGTAGTAAACAGACTTTGAAACCTACTGAAAGGGAGAAGTGTTCATTCTGCTTTACAAGGGGAAGATAAAAACTAAAGATGTAAAAAGTTAGGTGACCTAACCAACACACAAAAGATGCCCAAGATTTTCTAGTTTGGTTTTGTGTTCATCTTTTCATATGGATGAAAATGATTAGAAGACAAATGCAACAAAAATTACTCACCCAAACAGAATGGTCACACATCCTGAGACAAATATCCCTGCCACAAACATGAATTTTGCTCCAATGTGTGTAAGCTGTAAATTAAGTACCATTTTTTACATATTAGTACTTCAAGGAAAGATCAAAAATCTTCCAACGTAAGTTACTATTAAGAAATCAAACACTATGGGCACTTTATAGCACGTGTAACTAAAAGATCTGGAGATACTGCTTCTGCTGGTGTACCTTTATGCAATACTGAACCTAACAGTACTCTGAACGGTTAAGTGACTTAATCCAGTTTTCAGAATGGTAAGACAATGCTGCAATTAACTATGTCGCAGCAGCATGCTGCAGCTTCTGCAGAGCAGCAGGTTACAGCAGCAGTCCTCACTATAAACAAACACAAAGTAATACATTCCTGCTTCAGCACCATCACTGAGGGAAGGCCAGCAATACCTGTCACGTATATGGTTGAGGAGTCAATGGAAGCTGATTTTAAAGCAAATTTATCACTACTTTTAATACCACAAAGCTTTGGCATGGGAAGTACAGTAGCTTCAGGCTTCCCCATTCACAATCAGGGAAAGGACCCCACCTTTCTTCATTTTACACTCTATCCAGTAGAGTGAAGGACGATAGGAGGTATGCCATAAAGCTAACTCACTTCCATAACAAAGTACATTTGAACTTCTAATTACATGCTGCAACTTCCCCTAAGGGCAGCAGGTACTTCAGACTCCTTTTTTTTCCAGACCTGGACAAAGTCCCTGCCTTTCAGCCATTATTACTAAAGCCCATATTTTGCTGAGTTTCATTATAACCCTCAGGATCTCTGATTGCTCCACTGTCTATGTCTATTGATGCTCACTTCAGCTGTCTGCAGTGAGGATGGCACGCTCGCTCTCTCCCCTGTAAAGTACTTAGTGAGGGGTTGTGCCACAGCTGAATGCCGTCACAGGCACCAAGACTTGGACTTACAAATGGCACTTGGGTGACACTTTGATGAGCCACCTCACCACCAGAGAAAAGCACTCACCATAGGGTCAGCAAAGAGGCTGCCCAGCCAAACTCTGCAGCAGCCCCAGCTTAGGGTATGATCCTGAGCAGCCCTAGCCAATAATGCATAGACAGCAGTGCTCCAGCACATAAACAAACAGTTATATAATTTATTTGTAATTTCTCCAACATGAGAAAAATCCTGAATCTGTGGGAAAACTCAAGTTGCAAGAACTGGAGACATTTATCTCGTATTACTACATAATGAAGTTGAAGGGGAAACTGAGTTAAGCAGCAGAGAAAAAAAAAAGACAACATACCAGAAAAGAAGAAGGGGCGTAGTTAACTAAAGAAAAAAAAACAAAAACAAAACACCTTAAGAATGTTGCCAAAGGCAAACAGAACATACAAGTGCAACAAATAAAATGGGGGATAGGGGAAAGGAGGTAACAGAAAGCAGAACTGACCATCAAATTACTCAGATTACAAAGCAAACAGAACAGTTAACCAGAGAAACAAAACAGCTACATGTCCGTTGCCCTGCGCTACCTCAAGAACTACAGAAGCACTGACAAGACTTAGATCAGATTCAGACTAACTGGCCAGACTCCAATTAGTGCATACATAAGTCTGCAGGAACGCTACTGAAGAGACATCTTCTTCCTCAGCCTTAAAGAACTGTCTTCATGTATCAACCTGTGTCAGAATAGAAATAAGTTACAGCTCCAATTATACTTACATAATTTCCCAAGATTAAAGAAGACAAGAAATTGAACAAAGCAAAACATCCAAAAATCAGGCCAACAATGGTGTTACTGGCACCTTTTTTTTCTGCCTGGAAAAAAAGATCACAACCACGTAAAGATGTAGTCAAATTTTTGAGGTGAAAAACATTTATGCTTTGTACATTTAATTTTTTTAATTGTCTATTAATGCAGTTAGAAAGCAATTTCCTTTTTCAAAGGCAGCAGGGGTTAAACAAAGGTAAAACAACACAGCAATTTAAAGACATATTGCACTTCTAATATGTAACTAAGAGAAAAACCATGTTCATTCCTCAGTGAATGGAAAAATGTGTTATTTGCTGAACAAGCGGAGAGACTTTATACAGTGCGCACTGGTGTGCGACAGTGCTAGCTACAAAACTTTGATCCTTTGCATGGTGAGAGGACAGTAAATGGAGATATCTGTTACCTTCACTGTAACATGCCTCCTTATAACAAGCACCGATTTCTTTACTTACTTCGGTTGGCAAAGTATATTTACTTGGGCACAAGCAGTACATAGGAATATTTAAACCAAAAAAACATTTTGTTTTAAATACTTGGGAACAATTTGGTCATGAGAGAAATGGACTTCTGCTCCGAAGGCACTGTGACCAGTTTTTTCATCCTATATTTAAACATTGTATTCACTCCACATAAGCAGAGATTTTTTTTTTTTTTCCCTAAAGTTGCTAGATCAGGAAGTTAACACAGTTAAGGATGGCCCAGCCTGAGTTAACAGAGAGGCAGATATAAATAAAGTCATTGAGTGGTAAGAGCACTGAAATGCAAGTCAGGACATTGGCAGAATTTAATCTCAGCTCTACGCAACACTGAGCAAAGAACTATTTCAAGTTCTCCAAGAATCCACCTTCTATCTCATATCATTACTTTGCTGTCACCTCTGTAGTCACAGGGAAGATTAGTCCACGGACGGGATCCAGGTCACCATCATACACACACAAACTACACCAGCATCAGGCTATCGCTGAGTTCCCCCAATTGAAAAGTCTTAACTCAGAGCTTACAGCCAACCATAAAGGTCCCATGGAGTTCAAGATACTTCTAAAAGTGTCGACAAGGAAAAAAAGTAGTGTAAAGAGTAGCTGACTAAGTTGTTTGTTTACCTCTGAAGGGAAAAAGGGTCCCAGGATTGAGTAGCATAACATTGAACTGAAGTTTATAGAAGCTGTCGCAGCCAGCGTAAATAGCTGTTCTCTGGTAAACCCTCTTGATTCCTCACCAAGTGCTTCTGACACACCACCATCTAGAAATATAAAATAAAATAACAACAAAGTATCATCTCCCTGATAGAGGGGAACAAATTACAAATCGGGTTGGAAAATTAAACGCCGCACAAAAAGAGCTTCTACCCCTCCTGCTCTGAGAATTAAATCAAGCCGTGCTGCTTAATTCCCTCGTGCAGGAGCGCGGACTTCGCCGTGCGGACGAGACCTGCCCGCTGCGTGCGGTGCGATCCCGTGCGGTGCGGGCCGGCCCCCGCCCGTCAGCCCATCGCGGACGCGCCCGGCCCCACGCGGTGCGCGCTCTGCCCCACCGGGACAGCCGCGGAGCGCGGCACGGCGGCGTCCAGCCCCTGCAGGGACCTGCTCCGCTCCCCTGCGCTCCCGTTCCCTTTCCCGTCCCGGCCGCGGCGTGCGGAGCCCGCGGGGCAGCAGCTGCCCCCTGCCCGGCCGTGCGGGCGGACAAGCGCGGGGCGCCCCCGCCTCCCACCTGGGGGCCGCTCGCTGCCCGCGCCGTCCGCCGCCCGGCTGGCCATGGGGACGGAGCGGCCGCCTGCCACAGCCACACCGTGCGGCACCTCCCGCCGCCCCGCCTGACAGCGGCCGCGGGCTGACCGAGCACCTGGGCCAGCGCCAGCCCGGCCGCCGGCACTGAGCATGCCCGGCCCGCGGGAGCGGCCCGCCCAGAGCGCGCCCGCAGCGGCGTGCGGCCGGCGGGGAGTGCCCGCCCGGGCCGGGAGAGCGCCGGGCTTTGGGCACATTGAGAGTAACGTGCCGGCTGGCGGGGTACGCTGCACATCTGGCTCAGGGAAGTCACGATACGTTCTTAAGACTGGTAGACCAAGAAAGATCGCCGATCTAGAGACGTACACGGCCTCTAGCAAGTTACAGGATCCATAAAAGAGAAGTGCAAGAGCATAACGACAAAGTTGTCACAAGAATTAATAGCTATAACTGGCCAGGAGTAAATTCAAGCTAGAGATGAGGGAGAGGTGGTATAATCAATGCACTTGGCCCGAGTTTCTATCCACAGGGCAGGAAAATGAGGAGAGAGATGGGGTGTGAGCTCAGGATCTCTTCCAAATGTGGTAAAAGACCACCTGTTGCTTGAAGAGAAAAAACAGTAATTACATCTTAAAAGTGCTATTTTAACTAGGCCAGTACTCCATCTAGTCACCAGTTATAATATTAAGATGCATAAAAAAGACATTTCAGAGCAAATGTTGCCATGTACCTAAGTTTAGAATCCCACACCCCACATGACAGGAAAAAAGCAGAACTACTTTCTTATCACAAGATTAGGAAACCTAAAAGCTATTTAGCAGCCTGAAAGAACAACAGCAACATGTTCCTTTGCTGAAGCCTATTTGGACAATATATTTTGTGTGGCATATATTAATGGCGGTGAAGTTGAAAAATCCGTAAGAACTACCTTCATCTTTTTCTGTCTACCTCCAGAAAAAGACATAAACATAAATCCTTCTCATATATATTACCTCTTGAGCAGCCTTACCCCTCTCTCAAAAAATAAAAAAAAAGGAAGAGCACTTGCAAGTCATCCTGAGTTCACGAAAGGACAATAACAAAAGCATGATATATGCAAAAAACAGTAACAGCATATGGTTGCTTGTTCTTTTCTTTGTGTGGAGGCACTTGGAAACCTCTGGGCTGGTTAGCAAAACTTCTGTGGATATAGGGCAAGAAATTTGGTAAAAATAGCCTGGCCTCCCAGCTTCATAATGCAGAACCTTTTGTTGTTGTTGTTGTTGTATGACCAGGAAATACCAGGAAATAAGTAAGATCGTTGTTTAGGAAGAGTAAGGTGAAATGCGTACTGGTGTTATTTGCAAGAAGGCTTCTAGCTTGATGTTCCACAAGACTGAGAAATCACATCTTGTTCTGCAAGGAAAATGAGATAATTCTATCCCATGACATTGGAAATTTCATTATAGCACATGCCTGTGCTTTGTATTTCTAGAAAAAGAAGTCAGAGGGGAGTAAGTTTCACAAGGTTTGTTCTGAACTGAAATTCAGAAAGTTTAGAGTTTAGCAGTGTCATAGACTTCTCTTGGGAGTCTGGAATACCTGATACTTTCATCTGCCTCCCTGGCTGCCTCACTGTACTGTGCTGCTGTCTGTATGGCTCGGAACTCAGTTCCTGAGTCTCCACAGTTTACAATATGGGAAAATTATCACTGAAGTCTGACATTTTGAAGAAAATATGGGTTGTGGTTGTTAGGAGAAGGTAAAGGTTAAAATATGGGTTGTGATTGTTAGGAGAAGGTAAAGGTTACCAGCAAGAGACAAGAAGAGAAATGGAGGAAGGAAAAAGGAGCAGGAAGAGGATGACTGAGACAGAGTGAACCATTATATCCTCACTGCAGTACTGGTCTTCCAAAAAAGTCTCCAAGTTCAGCTCCTATTTTGATCATAGTGGAAAAAAAGAGGAAGGCTGCCAGCCTGGATAGGGGGGATAGTCAGGGGGAGTCAAGGAATTGAATGGAGAACACAGAGGGCAGTAGCAATAACCAAAGAATTTTTAAATATATGTGGAAAGATAGTGAGTCCAAATGGATCACCCCAGAACAGCAGGCTGGAGAGAATCCAAATTCTTGAATGTCATGTGACAGCAGCTCGTCTTCCTCTCCCCAAATCCAAGTTTATAGACAGCATGTTACGCTGTTTATAATGAGGGGACTGAGTTCCTGTGCTGGGGCTGGCTGCTCAGTGAAACAGCAGATCAATGTCTGCACCAACACCACCTCAGCCCTCTAGAACCTAGACAGGCTCTTGCACTGCATCTGGCAGCTCCTCATTTTCTAACACTGCTTGTTACCCCACTCACCCTCAAGTGGACTAAAAGTACTTTTAATACAGGACTGCAATCCTTGGCTTAAACATGTCATTCCCTCCCTGTGGCTGTATGCCAACATTTAAACTGCAGGGTGATGAATGGACATAACTCTAAGGGAAAATGCAGAGCTTAAGGAACTAGCTATTCCTTGTAGGAATATGGACTGAAAAGTGGAGCAGGTGGAGTAGTGCCAATAGTGTGCAGAGCACCGACATGAATGCTGAGCTCACATTAACACACTGTGCAGCAGAGTGGACTTTTTCCATCAAGATCACACACTTCCATTAATTATTACACAGAATATACACTCCTACTATGCTATACCAACATTTCCACACAGAGTTCAGTGCCAGTGCAAACCTCCTCTCTACACTGTCTTTTATCTCAGCACAGCTTTATTTTCTTGCAACTGCTTTAGGAAAACTGTTTTTTAATATCCTGCTTCTAGAATATTAGATTAGATTATACTTTGTTATTATCACTTTTGCTGTAACATAAATTTGTTCATATGTGCATACTTCCATCTCCTGGACTGAATGTATATTGCACTTTCTGGCAATACTGATGTGTCTTATGGCTAGATATGGACTTCTTGTTATCCTTTCAAACCCTTAGGGGAGATAATGGTCTATTGTTCCACTCAGTACAAAAACTACTCTGTAGATTAGCTGTCTTTGGGGATTTTCAAGGGCACAAGAAGACTAAGTGATAGGTGGATATAGGGAAAATGATTCCGAGCACTATAAGTGAAACTACACATTCCCATTTCTTGTGGAGGAAGGAGGGAAGAAGTCATGGACAAATGTCCCACAGGAGCTGCTAAATTAGAATACCTGTGTTGTGACTCCAGTGGTTACAAACCCACTGGTGTGTTGCAACCGGGATTGCAGTTCAGAGTTTCAAACAACATCCGTCAGTAGTTGGAGGTGCCAATCGCACCTCAGAGGCTGTCAGTGTGAGAAGTGGGCAGTGCCATTCCTGCTCAGTAGCTCAGAGTGCAGGGAGATAGGAGCCCCCACACTACACTTCTGTCTCCCTTACTTTTTCAGAGGTTAGCCTCTGCCCTTTCCAGATCTCAGTAATATAAAAGGTACGTAGGTGCCTGCCTCAGAGTTGACATTAGCTATATCTCACAGCTGGAGCCTGTGAGTGCTGCAGCTACAGCCCCCAGCAAGGCCTTTCCCCCGGGCAGGCTACAAAAGGTGGTGCTGCCCGAGCTGGGGGCATGTGGGGCAGGTATGAGCCAGCTGAGGAGTTTCCATTTTCCATCTCTGTCCTCCCCTGCCCTGACCTGCTCCAGTGGGTTGCTTTGCACTCTCTTTTCCCTACCTGGATTTAGCCTACATCCTGCTGCTTGGCAACACCAGGAAAATCAAAGAAGAACATATTGTGGAAAAGGTGACTGACAATGATGGTGACAAATGTGTTTGATTGCTTTAGCCACAAATCATGGCTGTCAATATTCGTTATCTGTTTCTCTTATATTTTGCCACTATGTATTTTTTACAAAGGTAGAGCAACCAACAGTCACGTTGTCTGGTCATTAGCAGCTGGTATGGACAAAGCCTCGTGTCAGACTGACAGCACCCGAGCAGGGAACACGTTTGCAATGCAGTGGCCGTGCTGTGCTTGCCATCAGCTGGATCACCCGGGCGTGTGTGAGTCCCTGACAGGAATGGGGATGCACAGTCACATTTGTGAGGTTTCTGAGCTGCAGCTCAGTGCTGTGCCCCGCTGACAGAGAATTAAGGCCTGTACCCTGTGCTCCCCATCTCTTGGCTGCCAGCGATAGAAGGACAGTGCCAGGTGAGGCCAGACCACTATGGCAGCACCAGAAGCACTTGCTGCCCCAAGGCAGCCGATGTGACCCAGCCCAGGCGCCCCTGTCCGGCTGCTGCAATTGGCTTTCCCACGGAAGCTGCTTCCCCAAATGAAATGGATACTTTAAGCACCGAATGTTTTTTCCATTAAAAAGAACAATTTACCTTCTTAAGGAACCTGTTGGGTGACAATATTCCTTCAGAGACTCAATTTGCACTATTCTTTGCCTAGAAAATAGCCAACCGACTTTCTTGTGAAACTGTATTTAATCCTCAGTGAAGAGGTGCCTTTGCTGTGGCTGCAGGCTGGGGTCAGGTATTGATAACAGTACAGATATCGCCCATAAAATATATTCACAAAGCCAATTTGCAGCTGTTTCCTATAGCTGTTCACGTTCATCTTTTAATTCCGGTTTCAAACCACGTCCCCAGTCCTTGGTTTCAAACCTCCTCATATCTCCATGTGGATAGCTACGGGGTGGGGGGGGGTGGGGTGGAGGGGGGGTGCGCGGCCGATCAGGCACCGCGACGGACAGCCCCGGCGCGCACGCGTGCGCGCGCGGGCCAGGGTCCTGTGGCGCTATAAGAGTGCGCTGCGGAAACGTCCCTCTCTCTTTGTGCGGCGGCGCGCGCGGTGCCGGGTGAGTGTTCGCGGTGGCGCCGGGGCCCGTCCGGGCGGGATCCCTCCGGGCCGCGGGGCATCGCGGCGGGAGCGGGCGGGGCGGGGGCCCCGGGGCGGCCGGCGCCGCTCACCGGGGCGGCCTGTGTCTGTATTTGCAGCAGGAACCCGGGCGGGGACCACACCCACCGAGAGCGCCATGGCCGAGGAAGGGTGAGCGGGGCCGGGGGCGGCGGGCGGAGGGGCCACGTCTCGCCGGGTCTCGCTCTGCGGCGCGTCGGGGCTGCGCGGGCCCCGGCGCGGGGCTGCGGCGAGTTCCCTGCGGGCCGGGGCCGGGCGATGGACGCGGAGCCGCCCGACAGGGCCCGTAACGCATGGCGGCCCTGCTGCGGGAGAGAGCGCGGCTCGCTGCTCGCCAGGAGTTAGCGCCTTGGTCTCTTTCAAGCTCATCGTTTCTTAGTAACCCTTTTGACTTGGTTCTTCAACTTGTGTTTCTTCTGTGTTTTTTTAATTGTGGGATGCTTGCTGGTGAACGGGAAGTTTTTGCTTATAGCTGTGAGAGGTTGGCACGATCATAACATTGTCTGTCTTCTCTTTAGCATTACTGCTGGAGGTGTAATGGATGTTAACACCGCCCTGCAAGAAGTGCTGAAGACCGCACTTATCCATGATGGCCTTGCTCGCGGTATCCGTGAAGCAGCCAAAGCCTTGGACAAGTAAGTATTGTGTCACCAGTTTATTTCTGTGATGAACAGCAAAACTGGGTGAAGTACGTTGTGATGAGGTACATTAAACACATACAATGGTCACTTTGTCCGGGTGTTCAGTCTAAAACTTTAACAAGACCACAGTTTTCTGCCAGTAATCTTTGTCTTTTGTAATCTCTGTTTTGAGGTCTTTAACTGTGATCTTGAATTATCGAGTTTAGCATCTATATTTTGAGAATAGCATCATCTGGTGCATTAGGTTCTGTCTGTGACCCCAGTGCCACCAACTGTTCATGTGGGTGTGTGGGTTTTGTGAAGAAAATGGAATGGTGCTTGCAGCATGTAGCTGTTAAAACCTGGGGCTCAAGAACCTTGTGTTTTCAGAAGTGATAAAGTCTTCTCAAAACTTTCTGAGATTTTAATTGGGTTAAATATGTGTCAGACTTAACCTGGAAGAGTTGGTTTAGCATTTGAAAAAAACTTAAATCATAACTTGTTTGGGTTTTTTTGCTGTCTTCATTTCTTGTGTGTGTGTTGCAACTGTAGATAACTGCTTTGGTACAATATCAAAGCAATAATAAACTCGTCTCATGTGCGAACCATGGTAATCAGTTATGGTCTTTTGTAGGGTGAAGCACTATATATATGCATATATATACACATACATACACACCTATGTGTGTTTATATGCAGAAGCACACTTCTAAGAACAGAAGGTGCTTTAGGATAATGCTGCAGTGTTTGGGTGATGACTTCACAGTTTGTCGGATACCCCTTCACTCGTTTTATGAGTGATAACTGCTGTCTGACAAACCTGTATGCAAAAACTTCTAAGACAAGGTGCTAAATAATGGAAGAAAAATAAAATTTAGGTGACTGACAACTACTTTGTAAGAATTCTTATGAGTTCACCTGCAGCTTCATATGCTGTGTGTTCAAAGGATAACGTTTATACACGTTTGGGTGTGATGGTTCTTGCTTTGAAACGTTTCTGACATTCTGGTGACACACATAATGAAGAAGGTCACAGAGGAAAACGATGTTGTCTCTAGAGGTCACATTGCACTAGGTTAAGCATAGAAGACCTACTCAGCTCTCTCTGTTGTCAGGTATCCCTTTGGTGTCTTAACATTGTACCACAGTATACAAAGATCCTAATTAGAATTGGGGCCCTGTCAAAACAGCTTCTTTGAACGTAAGTAGAAAAGATTGTTCTGAAGAGCTTATAACACCTTGATGTGGAAATTCAAGCTTTTAGTTATTACAATTCTAATGTTAAATTACTGTGATCTGTGGTAAACAAGAAAAAGCAACTTGTAACTTGGTTGCTTTCTGACAATGACACCAGTTCTTTATGGGACCTTGTGTTTATCCAGTCATTTGACATTTTTCCAATGGCTGAGAATTTATTTAGTGGGATTTTTAAAAGCTTTGAAAACTGGAATAGAATCTGATCATAAAGCTAACTATGAATAGCCTGTTATGTATATTAAAAACAGAAGTGATACATGATGTCAAAAGTATATTTAGTATTTCAAAAGCATAACCAAAAATGAAGCTTAGGAAGTGATTCTCTAGAAAAGCATGTGCTGAATTCTTTCACTTATGATTTTTATTATAAAGAATCTTCAAGTATTGTCTGAAGTTACATGTGTCAGTTTTCATTCTTTTTTAGACGCCAAGCCCATCTCTGTGTTCTGGCTTCAAATTGTGATGAACCCACATATGTAAAATTAGTTGAAGCACTCTGTGCAGAACATCAGATCAACTTAATAAAGGTAAGTGTCAACTTAAGACACAAGTTTATAACAGTTGTGCTCCTTGTTTCAGCATTTAGAGAGCTGAATCTTTAAAACACTGTTCTGTAATTCTGTGTATGGCTTATCTAAGCAAAATTTCTCTTTGCAGAGGTTGTTTAGTTCTGTGTGATTGGCATACAAGCAGTACAAAGTTAAAAGTGACTTCTTGTGTCCTGTATAACAAGGCATAGAATTATTGCCGTGAGTGGGTGGAGCACAGGAGGAGTCCTGCCGTGAGGGCACAAGCTGTACGATGATGATACTTTGGCTCCCTCTGCTGATGCCTGTGAGGAAATCAGCCATCCGTTACCCAAAGCTTCTGACAGTACAGCAGCTTTTGGGCTGAACCCAGTTATGTTAGAAATGGCAAGTTCTAACGTGATGCAATGCTCTGCACCTCAGGTTGATGACAACAAGAAGCTGGGCGAATGGGTAGGTCTCTGCAAGATCGACAGAGAAGGAAAACCTCGCAAAGTAGTGGGCTGCAGTTGTGTGGTTGTCAAAGTAAGATTATGTTAATTATAGATTATTTCTTGACTTGTGAAAATAGGCAGTAAACACAAGGTTGCTTTAGATAAGGAACTGTTAAATGGAACTCTTATATTAATTTTTATAAACGGTTACTTTATATTGTT